AAGTACAGATCCATTCTCTGTTGAACATAATCAAAGAAGTTGGCTTTTGGTATTCCCAATGGAAAGATGGTTGTGATAATCCCTTCTGAATGCTGCCTGGGAGATCTTATAAGTACCTCTTTTCATTTATTCATATTGAAATCTCATAGCCTATGCTAAAAGTGAGAGGTAGAAGGATCATTTTAAGAATATATAGAACAAGACTTACCATTCATAACAAATATCTATTGCATTCCATACTGACAATCTTAATACATTAAAATAGATAGATATATACAATGTAAAACATAGAGTAATTGAACTAATATAATTATTTTTGTTTCCCTTTTAATCATTCTTCATTACTTTGCTAATTCTAATTCATTACCTTTGGAAGGGTATAACAGTGGGGTGGAGTAAAAGAGAAAGAAGTGATTAGAAAAAGAAAATTTCACTATACAAAATTTAATGTTTAGAAAGTATTACCCTAAGTATTGAAGGCATCTCTATACCTTGATGGAAGCATTTTGTAGTCACATTATAGGAATATGCCAATTTAATGTGAACGAAAACCATGAAAATTCCAAGGCAAATGAGGGTATTCCAATTTTAGAGAGTTAGGAAATATATTAGAGTATATTTCTTTCCCTGTTGTTCATGTAAAAAACCCTGGACCAATGACAATGTAGTAAAAGATGATAGTTTCCATGAAGGAAGGGAGCTAGCAGTTGGGTGCTATTGAACCAGCTATAGGTAGGCTATTTATCCCTACTGTTAAAGCTTTAGTTTGTGGGGAGTGGAGATGAACAAACTGTAGGCCTTAATTTAGCAACCAGTTTTTCAGTGGGCCTCATAGGATGGGAAGAAAAGGAAATAAATCTGGCATTTTTGCTTCTACATTTATGATCCCAGGTAATAGAGGATATTGCACTAAGGGTAAATATTGCAAAAACCTTAAAACAAATTATTATATCTCCTGTATGTTTTCCTCTTTAAGGATAATCAAAATGCATATTATAATTACATGGGTTTCCAACATCCATACACAGCAAGTACAAGATACTTACATGTAAATACACTGTAGTTACCTATATTTTTGCATAGTTTTTAGTGTGTACTTTGTGCCACTTAATAAAAAGCATTACTCATCAGTAATTTCCATTAGATGTTTTTCTCACTTCAGCTGGCATTGCTGAATTTTTTTTTTTTTTTGGTATGTTCATCATGGATTACCATTTGCAAAGAGTGACAATATTGGACATTTGGAGGACTCTAAGTACAGAGTGTCGGGTGAAAGGGGAAGCTGCAGTGTGAAAGTGAGGTTTTGCATGACCTCTTTATTAAAGAAATATATGTCAGATTTAAGATGTTACTTTCATAAAATTACCTTTCCCTTCCAAGAAAAAGCAAAGGTAAGAATATTGTTTTCCTTTTGGTAACACTTTACAATAAGTGGCACTAAATTACACTATAACTGCTATGTTACATGGGAGTACATGTAACTACACTGTAAGTGTTGAATAGCTACTGTACATGTGCGTACACGGAACCTCAATGCTATTACAATCATGGTTACATAATTACAAATGAACCAGTCCTTTCTTTTCATTGAGAGATTTATATATTTTTTTACATAGTAATGAAAATACATGAGGTGTTAGCTTCCTTGCCTTATTTAGAAAAAAAAAAGTTTTCTTCCTGTTTTATTTATTTATTAACTTATGGGAATTTTAGTGCAAGGTTTGCCATTATGAAGCAATATGAGAGCATCCATTTCCTAGGTTAAATTCTAAGCTTCAACTTAAGTATCAGGTTCCTTAAACTGCTTCTTGAATTCTCTGGTGACAGAAAACAAGTTAAAAGCAGCACCCCCCTCACACATGAACACACGCACGCATGCACACACACTCGGTAAAAAAGAATCATTCTGTCTAAGATACAAGCAAATGGGGAAAAAAAAAGGAAGAAATGCTGTTTGGACAATTTTAAATGAAGAACAATCGATGGACACTGTAAACAGTACACTGGCAGAGATTAGCTACTTTCTTTTGAGCAAAGAACAATGTGCCATATTCTACCTTTGGGTATGTGTGCACTTCTCCCACCGAGTCTTGTAATGACTGTGCTCACCTAGCCGAGACAGAATTTGACTCACTCTTTATTAATGTGTATATTCCAAACATTAAAAGTATCATGATTCAGTTTCCCATATTTATCTGATTTGGGTGAACAAAGGTGGGTTGACTATTCAGAATGGGATTTTTTTTAAAGAAAAATAAAGTAATTTTTGAGGGGTTAGAAAAGTGACAATTTTGCACAGGTTTTTTTTTTGCCAAAAAGAATAAAAAGTAAAAATATTTTTAGTTAAAATCTAGCAATAACTAATTGCCAAAACATATAAGTAGTGCCCCCCAAATATAATAGTCCAGTCAATTTTTTCTTCCCTCATCCCCCTCCCAAATTCCAACACTGATATTATTTAACTCTGTGGGTAAGGGTTAAAAGAGTCCAAAATCTCAAAATGTTCCAAATTTTGCATTTTTTCTTTACACTGCTATAAATGATAATTGAATTATTTAAGCAACAATTCAGCAGTTTGAGCCAAGTCAGATTTAGATGGAATGAAGAGGGATGTAAACACAGTATCAATGAAAAGTACCAATTTTGTAAATGCATCCTGAAATTAAGTTTAAAATAGTATTTGATGATGCAGTTTATATAACTTATTGTTGTAATAAGAATTTTCCCTTCTGTACTAAACAGGATGAATTTTGTTTTGTGTTTGTCTTTTTAAAGACTCTGCTTTGAAAGACATGAACATTTTGTAAACCTATACTAGTTTCAATGTGTCTAGTAGCACCTACCTGGTTCTCTCAAACTACCATACTATATTAACATATTATTGCATTTTTCCACAGATGGTATGGAGTGAATTGTAAAAACAAGCATGCAATCACATCAATGCAGACTTATTTCTTTAAAATGTCAATACTGTATATGATTTATTATGTTAACACTCAACCACATCATATTATTTATGTTCTGTGTATTTTGAAAAAGTGCTGCTTGACTGACATTGTCCTTTCTCTTTTTTTAAAGAAATCAACAAGAAAAATGTTTCAACAAAAAGTTTTAGAATTCTAACATTGTCCTTAAAATATTTATGCTTTTTTGATAAATAATCTAAGATACAGCACCCTTGCCTTTCATTTGATAATAATACATGATGTTGTACTCAAACATTCTCCTACCCCAAAAATAAATTCCAAGAGATTTTTTTTTAACCATCGCCCATCATGATTTTCAACTTTACAAGTATAATTACCATATACCATTTTTCCCCTTAAAGGTGCAACACTTGGAAAAAGGGAGAGTAACATTAATCAGTCATGGTTTTCATTCTTTAGCATGAAATAAATACTAAGACCTGATCTAGTAGCATAACAGATAACAGACAGACCATTAGCTCTTTGAGTAAAAGTGTTAGGCTAATTTTTTTGTTGACATATTTAAGAGTAATGAGATTTCTTTAATGGTTAATTACATCAAAATTTCAGAACTAATCCAGAGAGAGAGAGAGAGAGACTTTCTCCATGAAGCTAAAAACATGGCAGAAATTCTCTTTTACTTGCTGTGACATGTTTGTACCTCATAAAATGCATAGACAGGAATTTAATATAAATAATTAGTCCATTTTTACACAAAACATATATCTTAATGCTTTTTTTCTTTTGTTTTTGGCAAATCAAGATAGGTAAGCAGCTCTGCAACTGCCAAATTTTTAAAAAATTGAGATTTTTTATTTGGAAACTAAGAGTTCATTCCTTAGAATATTAATCAAATGTGGTTGTAATTTAAAACCTGAGGCTGTGCACTGGTTATTAGCTTAAAATTACCTTTCCTTATAACATTGTGCTTCCATTGTATAACAAATAAAAAAATTAACAAGAACTAGAAAAAATTTGCTGTTGAACAGTGCTAGGACATACAGACAAAAATACTAATACATGTTATCTACTTATAATATTGGTTTAAGTCATATCTAAAGGGATATAATGGACATTAGAAAATGCTTACTTGTGACTGACTTACCTACAGCCCAAAAAGTTAAATATGTATCAAATAATGTTTAATTGGATTTATTATATGCACTATATACAGATTCTAAAATGTCTTGAAATTGTGCCCTATGAATACGTCCAATCTGTGTAGGCAGGTGAGTCCTTACGAAGCAAATAAATTATGAAAAAAAATACAGAAACATATCTAATCTTTGTGATCCTCAAAGCAGTAAAAGTGTTGGAAAAAATTTATTTGTAAATGAGACTACAGTAACCTAATGCAGAATGTATATAGATATACAGCATGATATGATTACAACCCAAACACATGGCTCCAGTATCAAGTACTATTGGATAAATAGCAAATTGATACAGCTCTACCACTGAGTCCAAGCATTCTAGAAACTATACTACAGTGTTTTCAGTTTGTGTTTTCTAGGGCATATGTTTCAAAAACTTGTCTTTGAAGTATAGACATGTATAAAACATTCTTTGTAAACCTCTAATCTTAGATTGAACTTGAGCACACTAGGTGTTCACCTAATAGTGTTGGTTATGAAAACTGTCCAATGGCATACTAGTAAGGACTATGATTAAAAGGAAGAAAACTGGAGAAGAAAAGCTTGCATACAATTACAATTTTAAATGTAGAAAATAATTCAATACCATGGTTTAAGATGATGATTAAAGTTGTTAAGGCTGTATATTCAAGCACTGTATGTTAAGAGAACAATAATGTAAATTTTAGGCAATAAGAAATGTCCTGCATTATGGATGAGAAGGTAATTAAAGAATAATGTTAAAGAAAGCTGATTGTTGGTATAAACTGGCTACTGGTAGCAGTACAGTATGGAGGTTAATAAAGGGAGTAGAAGATGGTAGAAATGAATTCTGAAAGATGATAGCCAGTTTTCTCCAGCAGTCAGCCTGATAAGTAAAACTCAGAATCTAGGTCTGCATCTAAATGAAATATTCTTTTTTCTCCTCTGCGTTGACTTGGCTGCCTTCTGCATTGATAATAGCTGTGTCAGCATCCGGTGCATCTTCAGCTCCTTTAGCTTCGTTTGTCAAATATGTTCCTATGAAAATCAACATGAAAGAAATTGGTTGGCATATTTATTTGACTAGCCACCGTCATCCCTACATTTAATTATTAGACATCTGTACCCAATTTCAATTAGGTTGCATGCATGAGGTAATTATTTTAATTTTTTTTTAAAATACACATAAGCTCACTTTCTCATGGATTTAAGCTTGGGCCAAATTTATGCAGCTCAAATACTCAGCCTAGAAAGTATCCAAGAGGTAAATGGGGACATGCAGCTGCACTAGTAATTGTCATTAAAATGACTGAAATGATTAGATCGATCATGGCCACATCCAGAATAATGATTCCACAGCCTATCCCTGTATTGAATTATTCTTAAAAAAAAAAATCACCCTTTCCTCTCTATATGGCCTTACATGTGCATATCTATGGAAATTCCAGAAATCAACTTTGAATCAATTACTGATGTTGAAGAGATCATAAAGAGGGTGATTCTCTGCTTTCCTAGAAATGGATAGCAGACTTGCTTCTAATTCTTCCTGAGCCAGTCACCCATGTATGACCTTGGGTGAGTTGTTAGATATCATTTTGCTTCAGTTAATCTGACTGTAAAATTAGGTAAAAATCAAGACCTCTCTGGAATCTAGATGCTGACTGTTAGATGGATTTTTCTGAGTAAATGATTTACAAGACAGGAAAGAAAAAAAAAGTGTTGGAGAGTAAACATAATCACAAAGAAATATTGCTGCAAAAGTTGAGTGCACTTTGATTAAATCTCTCCTACCTTTATGTCTTGCCAGATATCGACCAAGCAGAAATATAGAACACAGTGTGACAAACACGACAACAGCCACAATTCCTCCTATAAGAGCATGGTCAGGGCCAGTCTGTCCGGCCAGAGCATTGGGATCTAGATTGCAAAAACAAAAAGAAAACAAGGTGTTTTTTTTTTCCCAAGTAGTAACTCGTCACAATTTAGACTGTAATTTTTTAAAAATGCACAAATTTTCCTTTTTCATCCTCTGAGGGTATTATTTCTTTTTAGGCTTATATTTTCTCAATAGTGCAATTCTAATTGTATCCTAGTTGTTTAAGGTCCCGATGAGAGCTCAGCAATTGAAAATACTATTTTATACTACTATACATGGAGAAGGCTTCCATTGCATTCACCTTGCGTTTTCCCTTACTCATTTTAGTAATGAATATCTGTCCATAGCTATCTACAGGAACTAAAACAAGTGATTGAGAAATGGGGATCAGATAAGCATCAGCTGAACAGTGTCTGAGTAATACATAATTTATATGGCTGAATCTCAGTGGGAATCCCTTATATATATTCTCCTCTTGTCATCCCTCTCCTACTGCAATAGAAATAAAAGAGGAGATGAAATACAGTAGCCTTTCTCAGTTCCTCTGCAGATAGCTGAGTCTGCATGAATTGCATCCCATATATGTATCCTGCATCCTTAAAAATCATTATTCACTCTAGAGTGTTTAGCCCATGAATTACTGCAGTTATCCGATTAACAATGGAGTGAGTAGACTCTAATAGCTTTGGCAGTGTTTTAAGAGCCTCACTTAACCTGACTAGACACAAAACATTTAGAAGGTTACCAGGTTTAAGCTCTCTCTGCTTAGCATGTATCGGCTAGGGGAATCTAATTCTTCTCAGAGGACTACAAAGAGGGAGTTCTGTAAAGTAGCACCATTTAGGTCAGTAATTTCTCAAACATTTAGAGCAATGAATTAGTTACCTTTAAGTGTAGGATCATTCCAAATTTTTTTTGGATAATTTTATACACACACACACACACACACACACATATTAAATTTAAAATTTATTTTTAGTTTTCAATATTCACTTCCATAAGCGTTTGAGTTCCCAATTTTCTCCCCTCTCTTCCCTCCCCCCTCCCCAAGACAGCATTCAATCTGATATAGGCTCTACATATACATTCCTATTAAACATATTTTCACATTAGTCATGCCATAAAGTAGAATTAGAACCAATAGGAGGAACCACAAGAAAGAAGAAACAAAACAAAACAGAAAAAAAAAAGAGCAAGTATGCTTTGATCTGCATCCAGACTCCACAGTTCCTCTCCAGATGTGGATAAGTACTTTCCACCATGAGTCCCTTGGAGATGTCTTAGATCCTTGCATTGCTGAGAAGAGCTAAGTCTATCAAAGTAAGTGATCACATAATGTGGCTGTTACTGTATATAAGGTTCTCCTCGTTCTGCTCACTTCACTCAGCATCAGTCCATACAAGTATTTCCAGGTTTTTCTGAAGCCTGTCTGCCCATCATTTTTCATAGCACAATAGTATTCCATTACATTCATATACCACAACTTGTTAAGCCGTTCCCCAATTGATGGGCATCCCCTCAATTTCCAATTCTTTGCCACCACAGACATTTCAAATTTTTATGGGAAGAAAAAGATAAATGATTTCACTCTACAAATCCTAAGTGAGTCCCACTCTCAAGATATATGTCTTATTTATTCAATGAATAGGGAAATCATAAATCTCATTTTTTTTAATAAAAAAGAACATACTACCAAGCAACAGGATAGGTAATTATCATGGAAGGTGAAAATATGCATCAAGCATTATATACAAATGATAAATCAAAATAATCTCATTTAAATACCTGAATTTTGCTCACAAGTAATATTCCATATTATTTTAAAAAATTATTTGAAAGTAAGACTATACTAGGGGTGGGGAACCTGTGACCTCAAGGCTACATTGTGGCCTTTTAGGTCCTTGGGTGCAGACTTTTGACTGAGACCAAAGTTTTACAAAACAAGTCATTTTATTAAGGAGATTTGTTCTGTGAAGTTTGGATTCAGTCAAAGGGTCGCACTTGAGGACCTAAAGGACCACATATGGCCTACCACATGTGGCCTCAAGGCCACAGGTTCCCCAACCCTGTTATACAGTAGAGCTGTTTCATTAGTATGGACTTGCAGCAGAGGTTAACATTCCCTTACTAAGGCAGGTCAGCATAGGCTCTGCCACATCTAGTTTTTGAGAATTACCTATTATATAACTATGTGTAAAGATTTTAGGATTACAATGGGGTGTGCAATTCTCCTTAATGACAATTATAACTACAAATGACTCAAGAACAGGGCAGATGCTCACACCTATAAAATGTAGTTTTGTAATTGCTATCATGCACGCTTATAGAATAATTTAGTAGTAATTGCATTTTTATGAAATTACTTTATAAATACTTATAAACATTTCACTGAGTTGAAACATAAAAATCATCTTTGGCTCTGCTCCTTCCACCCCACACACATTCTCAATCAGTTTCTGATGCTTGTTTATTTTAACTCCACAACATCACTTGATTTGATCCCCCTTTCTCTCTTTACCTAGCTACCATCCTGGTTGAGGCCTATATCACCTCTTCCCTGGCCTACTGTCATAATCTCCTAGTTGGCTTCCCTTTACCCATTCATTTTCCACACAGCTACCAAAATAATTTTCCTAAAGCACAGGTCTCACTATCACTTTTCTGCTCAAAAGTCTTCAGCACTTCTGGAATAAAATACAAACTCCTTAACCTGATACTTAATGTTCTTTGTAATCCAGTTCCAATCTATCTTTCCAGAACATTTTTTCACATTAATTTACTTAATTAATTCACAGCAAATATATAGCACTGAATTTGAAATACCATTGGCTGCCCTAACTATTCACTATCTCAATTAACAATGCAGCAGCCATGACTAGGAGGATTCAGGCCAAAAAAGCGAAAAGGAATTGGATCAGCCCATCTTCTTTTCCTCCTACTGGCCAAAAGAGAGACTGAGGGCATGTATGCAGTAAAAGCTCTTATCTGTGTCTCTGGGAATGACAACCATGAGGATAGGGAGGCACTGACTGGCAGTAAGTGTTGATAGCATTCTGGGTCAAACTGGGAGCTTCAGAAGTTGGGGCAGCTGTAAAAATGTGCTCAGAGATGACACTGGTGACTACAAGCCAAAATTAATGCACTAAATTCTGGGAATACTGAAGTAAGGCACCAAATAGATTTCAGAATGGAATTGAAGGTGGAAGAGGAGAGTGGATATGTGAACAGTCCTAGGAACTATGATGCCTAAGGCATCATGACATTATGTGGCATTATAGATATGAGCAATAATTATCTCCTGATTAAATTAGGGTCAAATAAGTCCCTTTTCTTTTTTTTTTCTTTTTAAGCCTTTTAATAATTATCATTTCTATATTTAAAGGCTATTATTAGTCTGGAATGTTTTTAGGAGTTTGGGGTTGGTGCCAAAATTGAAAAAAATGTGTACTCTATTCTGATATTGCCAGGAAGAAACAAGGATGAAGGCAAAGTGAGCCATACAGATTGCTAGCAGGTATAGAAAGATGCCCAAGATTGAACCTGATGAACATGAGCTTAGAACTATAGTTCTAAGCCTTAGTTATTGAGAGATTCCTGAACTAAGGTAACACATGAATTATAGAAGAAATAGGTAGATGCTGTCCTCAGGGAGAATTAAAGCAAATACCAATTAAAAGAGACAAAAATAAACTTAACCTTTTTCTATGTGTATGTGTACATCTAAACACACAAATACAAATGTACACATATATCTATAAATTCATCATGATACACACATATATGTATATTTTTATACATACACATGCACAAATACGTGCATAGACATATTATACTAAAAAGTGCTAGCCTAGCCTACTGTCTCATCATGGCATGGAGCCAACTGTAGGTTACTGAAAATTTTGTCAATAGAGTAAAAACTTTAGGAGGATCACTCAAGCTGGAAGGGTGTAGGTACAGCAACATCAGGAGTATTGATGGATATCTCAGAGAGGCTCATCACTTGACAGTTTGACACTAGGTGATTTTTTTTTTCCTCTTTTTGACCAAAGTAAAGAAAAAGAAAAAAAAAGAAAAAAAATGTAAACAAAGGTATGGAGAAACAATGATACAATGATGAAACCACAGCTGATTTCCAGATATATATTTTTCCTCTTACAAACTGAAGAATAACTAACGTGAATTCTCATTATTCATAGAAATTGTTCAGATATAAGCAGAATGAAATAGTCAATAAAGCCCTTGAATTGGAGTCTGATAGAACTGGGTTCTAATCTTCCCTGTTATACTTATTCCTGAAATAAGGATTTTGTTCATATTTCTTACCTGGAGAAGAAGCAAGAAGAAAGGCCTAGACTTTTTCTCTCATACAGCCATGAATTATTGGGATGGTACAAGTCTAATAGGTTATCTCTCTAGCAAAATCAAGTTTTGTTGTTCTTTATTTTTCATTTTGTTGCTCCTTATTTTTCATTTTGTTGTTCTTTATTTTTCATTTTGAGGAAGGCCTTAAAGTCATGCCATAAGGCGTGACCATAGGATTAAGATGGGATTCATTGAAATGTAAATTGCTTATAGAGCAATCCCAAGGTAGTTTCCATCCAAGGAAGTCCAAGCTTTACTATACAAATCTCTGCAGTGATTGCAAAGTTTGCCAAGTGAGAAGAAGTGAATAAGTTGTTTATGAGATTATGTCTTGTATGTCCCACCTGAATTTTTTAGCAAATTAAAATAAAGAAAATCCTTCACCCAATAAATTGTTACCTTGCATGCTTACAAAGGTACCAAGGTCCTTTTATTCACTTAAGTGGAACTCTGGATACAAACTGTTTTCTGAATTTCTCAGAATGAACTTTGGAAATAAAGCCTAAAGTGGTATGATTTTAAAGAAACTTATCAAGAATGAACCCAGTCCATGTAAACCAAGAGTTTACATGGGTTACACAGCTGTATATTCTCATTTCTTTTTTACAGGATCCTTATAAAATGTCAGACATTGTCATCGTCATTTTACAGATGAGAAACCCATTCAGACACATTAAAT